GTAAACATGCCTCGTCGCACAATTGTGGCGAAAATACACCATCTGCAAGCACCCTCGTTTCAGGCTTTGCGTTTTCTTTATATTTTTTCTTCTAGTTTTTAAAAAATATATTTCTTAAAATATTTTTCTAAACATGTGAGGCCTCCTGAATAACTGACACGCCAAAAAGTGTGCTGTCCCTGGACAGAATTTTAAGATGGCTGACCTTAACTTGGGAACCTCAAAGATCTGTTTTAAACGTGTATCTCCTTCAGGCTCTGGAAAAAGAAAATGAATTCAGCGTTCCCTGAAGCAGACGGCCATTTTGTCTTTTCTTTCTTTCTTTTTTCTTTTGCTAAGTGTTTTATGGCGCTCGCAAGTGCATAAGGTCAATTGAGCGTGCGGGACATACCAAACATTTTCAGTTGGTATGCAATTTTGAATTTTGCCCGGGTTGTGGCCGAGGCCTACTCTTATCGATTTTGGACCACCAAGGGATCTTTGACGTGCGCAACTTGCACACGGGACCTGCAAGATTTTTCGCTCTTGTTCGAGAAGGCTAGGAGTAGATCTTTCCTAAATAGAAGATCAGGGGTGTGGCTGAAAGACAGCAGTAAGAAGGAGCCAACTCAAGGCCACTCAAGGGGTAGCAGTAGAAAAGCTGCAGAAAGAGTCTGGAGCCCAGAGGAGGGGGCAAATGAGATGAGGGTGGGGTGGGGGGGGGAGAAAATGGAGGCGAAAGCAGACGACAGAATATTGCAAGAGAGAAGGAAAGAAGGTGAAAGGAGACAATTTTAGAGAAGTTTTTTTCCGTCGCTGTTCGGATTCGAACCCGGGACCTTTGAACTTAGAGGCGAACACCTTAGCCTCTAGGCCAGGAGAGCCCCCTCTGATGTTCCAGTACAAAGACGAGGCTACACATACACTGTTTCCAAAATTGTATCGGACATAATAGTTTTATTGTTGTCAGGTCTGACAGACAATAGGTGGGGACATTAGATGACGGAAATGCAAGATGGATGGATGGATGGATGGATGGATGGATGGATGGATGGATGGATGGATGGATGGATATGTTTACATCAATAATATACAGAATAAATATTGGGGCAACAAATCAAACAAACGAATCTTGTTTGTCTATCAAAAGCAAAAACAATAAATAAACAAAAACAAAATTGCTATTATATTCCTCGTGGGTGGGATGGATTGGAAGAGAAATTACTTCCCCTCCCTCCCACCCC